CGCTCGCGGCGGCTGGCGCCCGTCGTGGGCGACAGGCTGTCCAAGTGGAAACTCTGGCTGCAGAGGCCCGAGGCAGTGAGGAGGGGCGCGCCTTACGAGAACCCGCACTTCCTGGCCTTCTGAGCGAAGCTGCGCCGGCCAAGCCCCGTGCCCTCCCTCGAAGAAAAGTGGTCCACCACCACCCCCGGCAGCCGGAAGCCTTGGGGGGGGGGAGGATGGGTTGCTACAGATGGGGACGCGGGCAGTTCGGGAAGCATGAACCGCCAGTGTGTATGAGTATGACCAACAACGGCGGGGGAGGGTGTGTGTAGGGGATTAGAATGCGGCGTGAAAATGGCGTGTAAGGCGTGGACACGACCGACGGCATTGGACAACCACGGTGGTTGAAGACACGGATGGACCGGATAACGGATGGGATGGGCTTTCGGCATGGACAGCCCTTGGGAAGGGCCTGGTGTAACGGACATGACGGGCGCAACCTCACAGAGGCACCCGGCATGTTTTTTTTTTCGGGGCTCTACTATTTTTTTTTCCTTCCATATTTAAGTTTTAGCGAGCGATTGCTTTCGAATCACATTCCCCCAGGGAGTCCACGCAGCATCGCCTGACGTTCCCGGATTCAACCATGACAACCATGTTGCTCCTCCGCCTCGTAGCCCCGGGGCCTTCCGGGGGCATGTTACCTCTGGTCTCTGTGCAGAAACCTAGGAGAAGTCATTATCCGAAGTTACCAGCAAACATACGACTGGGTAGTAGCAGCAGCAGCAGCAACAACATGGCGAGCGCCCGGCAGTGAAGGGTGAGACACGATGAGCAGCATGTCACGAAGCTTGTTCGTTGCACTGGCCATGATCCATATCCATCCATCTTGCGCGCACAGCCAGCCAGCCAGCCAGCCAACCAGTCACAGTAGGCCGAGGACAATGCTTGCCAAGAGTCTCGAGAAAATCACAAGGGGACCAGACGCAAACCTTATTCACAGCATCGCGGCGTCGGAGGAGCCTGTCAACGGCGCCCGAGCCACCCGCCCCTGGACAGTACTGTACCGTACTACAGCTACCCCAGAGCGCCTCGCGGCGGAACTCACCGCGCTACACCTGCTCGAACCCCAGCAGAGCAGCTCCGTTGCCGACCTTCTGGCTCTCATCTATTTGCTCTCATCTCAGCATGATTTGGGTTGCTCGTGCTCCACCGGTCATGACCGAGACGTGCAAAGTCGGCACGTAAATAGTGACTTTTCGCGGCAGGACCCGAGTCTCGCATTTCCGTACGACGGCTACAAGGCTAACAGGGCAAGGAACGTCATGATCCATGAATCTCTCTCCCTCTCTCTTCTTCTCCTCCTTCGAGCTGCCGAAAGCACTGCGGTCTCTAGCTTCACCAGCCATACATCAGCAGATTGTCATGATTACCAAGAGGATCGGTGAGCGTGGCTGTGCCGCTCCTTGAACCTGGCATGGTACAGCATGGCATGGCATGGCATGGCATGGCATGGCATGGCATGGCATGGCATGGCATAAAGGTAGGTAGTAATAAAAGGGGGACGCATGTTCCAACCGCTTGAAACTTTAGGCCTCTGGCGTCTTGGCGCCCACAGCCTGTTGAGGCGGACATGGTGGCGCGGATGCCATGTGCCTCGCTCGCAGCGCAAAGCCAAAGACCAAGTAGAGTAGGAATTGGTATGAGAAGGTTCAGGCAGAGCAACCTAGCCACAGAAAAAAAGTGTCATCGTCTGCTTTAACATTGCAACGCCAGGCAATGTAATATGCGTAAGCTTCTCTGCTTCCCTGAATGGGTGGGTTATCTCGGCTGTGTCTTTTTTTGGCGCGTGGTCAGTTGATTTGGGAGTGACATTGACGACCCGACTGCAAATGCCGGCTGTGCAGTGTTGCTTGTGCTTGTATGCGTGTGTGTGTGTGTTTGTGTGTGCATGACTGTGGTGCGCTTCTTCCTTCGCCCTACCTGTGTCGTGTCCACGGCGGCTCGTCAACGGTGCTCGTTCGTACGAGCTGCTATACTGTCGGCTGATGCAGTCATTTGCTATGCCCGAAGATCCAATCCGAAAGCGAGGTAGACGAGACAGATGCTCACCTCATCCCGTCATCCACGGAATGCCGTGAGTTTGTGCGCCGATCGACTGGCTGGTCGGAATTCAAGTTGGACCGCCTCACGACCCTCCCACCCCTGACTCGGTCTCGGGTTGCTCATCAGAACGCCAGCCCCTCCAACTAACCCCCCCATTCACGAGTCTACCCTAGAGACAATGGGTCGAAAAAGAATGCCGACTGCAGTGAAGGACCCCTGACTGGTCCGCCGCCAAGAATATTCCTGGCTTGGGCCCGGCGCCCTATTCTACTAAAAATCTCTCGGCACCCATCGTGTGCCAGCCCCCCATTGCCCACCATGTCCGCTGACACAGGCGCCTGGCGTGTGCCATCGTACAGGGCTGTGCACTGCAGATTACTTGGCTGCCTGGCCTTGGGCTTGGGGTGGAGAGAGAGAAGGATAGCAGGAAGAGCGTGAGAACACGAGACGGAGAGAGAGAGAGAAAGAGATGGAGAGTGAGAGACAAAGAGCGCTGACGTTGACATCATTTCCTTGCCAGAGCCAAGCCCCCCCCCCCGGTCCCCCTCGTCTGCCGTAAAAACAGATGCCTAGAAACGGAAGCTTCCTACATTACCTCACCTCTTACTGCTGGTTTTCTCCGCGTATATTCTCCGCGAACGCGCACCCGCGCGTATTAATCTGAATCTGACGGACCTTGCCACCTCGATCTCAACTCGTTGAAATGAAGTGAGGCCACCATGGCGGGATAAAGCATCTATGTTCTGAATGTCAGTACCGTCCAGCGTAGGATCCCGCCTTGAAGTCGAGACCTCGGTTTCCTCGTGAGTTAAGCAGTCCGCCCTCTTCATGTTACCTTGCTCTCTTTATTTTCTTTTCA